AAAAAAAAAAAACAGATCTCAGTGAACTGTCAAACCTGACAGCAATTTGGACATCACATGCAAGTTTGAACAATTTAAAAAATGTTATTGCATATTAGAGGCACATTTGGAACATTCAGATTTAATATTAGCAAATTTCAAGAGCATCTTGCATTTGCATTTGAAAGACCCAAAACAAGTGTTCAAAGCATTTTAGAGTAAATGGAACATGTGAATCATTTCGGGCAAAATATGCACTGTCCTGAACGGTTATTTAAACAGTTTTCTTAAAATCATTTTGGGTGGGTGAAGGGGGTTTATTGGAACGTTTAAAGTTTCGTGACATCATAAAGCCTAACAGAACGTTCAAATCCAGATGTGGATTCTGGAACACCCTAAGCGTTTCCGGATATCTTGGAACGTTCACAGAATTTAAGCACCACGTGTGTTTTAGAAAAGTTTAAAATGAACCATTTTTTGCCCATAATTGCCGTGTTGGAATGCTCGACTGTGGCAGCATTTCTTAACGCGACTTTGATGCCCAAAAATGCTGTCTAGGTAGGCAGCTCTCGAAGTTTTGACACACAGCCAGAGACTGAGATGAGAAATACATAGATGCCAATGAGGCAGGTGTGAGTTATATCCCAGTATTCTCGTATTCAGAACTCTCTCAGCAAAACAATTTGATATTTAGCAAACTAAATAGGCAAAACAAACATCACCATATTTAACTGCTGGTATCATTCTAATCATGCATATAAATCAACTGTGCTTACCCTAGCCATCATCTCATCTGCAAGCTTAAAATGATTAATAAACGCATTGTTACCTTCTCCAGCGGTCTGATGGTGTATCACGGGCTCGTTATGGCTGCATGGGCCGCTAATCGACTCTCTGTCCCGGTCTGCCTACAATACAACAAACTCCAGGATCAATACATTTGCATCAATCGCTGCCATATAAACTCTTTGATCTGTGCATGAACGAAAAGCCGAAATCTGGCTGCTTATGCGCGGTGTGTGAGTTTGTGTGACCACTGATTTTGTGCAAACCGCTACGTTAGCAGCCTGCGCTACTTTCTTTGACAGAAAAATAAACAGCTTTCAAACGGGTTTGGAAGCCGTTATCTTTACGTTTACCCGTCAACTCACCCTTTTAGCGAGCCGCTTTCTCTGTAAGGAAGGAGTAGCGTAAAATCCGAGCGAAACGGATTATTCGCGAGTGGGTAAAAGTCGATTTTAAACAATATTTTCCTTCCCACTCTAGCCGAATTACAGCAGCAGACGACGGCCTCCAGCGCGCGCAACCTAACATAATGCACGCAACGCGATACGCGCTCTGCATAAGCCCCGCCTTCCAGCTTTCTATTGGACAAACGAGAAGCCCGTCATGAATGCTCTTCCCGTCGATTGGCTTATAAAAACGTCGATCTCGATCAAAATTGAATATGCAAACTATAGTCGATTTCTATTGGCTAATCAGACTGTGTCTTCTAATCAGTGATGTTTAGGTTCTGGTAGGAGGCAGTGGTTTGTCAATGTTGCTGTCCATCTATTGACTTCATAATAGACTGGAACCGAACGAGGTGGGAAATAGCGAGCGAGTTACTGCCTCTAAATAGCATTACTATGAGATTGTGATGTTTGTGTGTGTTCATCCGCCATTCAGCACGTAAAAAAATAAGACTATCCCATAAGCGTGTGTTGTTAACCACCTGTGCTTATTTGCAGTAATAAAACAGCTAAAAAATATTAAGCGTGCACGCAGAAATATTTTACAATCAGTGTTTTTATGCCTTCAACAGTACGATGATGTTCGCCTTTACGTCGAGAACTAGGCAAAAGAGCTAAGAGTAAGAAGTGTGCATGACAGGTTATGGAAATCAGTATAGCGATAAATTATGTCAAGGTTTGTGCTACATATATTTTTCACGATGGTGAATTAATGTAATATGTAATGTATGTGATGATGAAACAAAGTAATCTTAATAATAATCAAAGTAACAAAATAATATGTCATATTATTCCAGTGATAAGATAAAGCAGGCGAAGCAGTACCAGCTCATATCACTAGATGTCGCCATTGTCCGTTATTTAATCGCTGCTGTTGACCAACCAATGGCATAACCAATGGACGAGTACAGTACTTATATGTTTCAGCCTTTTCTGTTTTGCTAGACATACAAAAGGTGTTATGCACGATGTTATTATGACATATATAGGCTACATATATAAAAAGGCATTGGAGAACGAGGGCAAACTCTGGTAATATTGTTCACAATGTTAAAACACATATTTACTAATAGTTAACTAAATATTATTTATTTAATTAAACAAAAAATATATAATGTGAAAATGTTATGACATTGTCAGCAATTTTATATTAGGAATGTTTTTAAAAATGTGAAAGTTATTAAACTAAACCATTCGTAAAACAATTACAGCAGTTAATCTTTGTGTCGATGTCTTTTTGCATAATTTGGCAAAACTACATCTTGAAATCTGGTTTGTATCGCATTGTAACTCAATGTTTTGTACTATATTTCTAAAGCCTTGACTAGACTGATTTTCTCATATTTGGCTGCTACAAATTAAAATGAAATTCAGATGAAAAGCTTGCATGTAATATGAAAGCTGAAGCATGAAAATATGCTGAAGATCCAGTTTTGTCTGTTAACTTCCATTAACTTGACTGCTAATCAAACCACAGACCAGATGTTTGTAATGTAGTCCATGAATGACTCTTTTTAAGTGGATCGTTTCCTTTTTATCTTGCAGTGATGATGATGTAACGATAGAGAATATGCACAGATTCTGTATTTATTTATTTATTTATTTATTTATTTATTGTCCCAAGAAAAATACTTTTGTCAAATTTTATGTTAGGCTTTTGTTCAGCAATGAAGCATTAAATTATTTAAAATTGTCAGTAATACATAATGTTACAAAACACAAATAAATGCTGTTCTTTTGAACTTGTTATTCATCAAAGAATCTTAAAAAAAAAAATGTATCACAATTTCCACAAAAATATTAAGCAGCAAAAACTGTTTTCATCAATAATAATAATAATAATAATAAGACCATTATTAATAGGCTAATTGAGCACCAATAATGACGGAGCATCAAATCAGCATATTGGAGTGATTTCTGAGTCTGAAAATTCATCTTTACAATCACAGGAATACATTACATTTTAAATAGCCTAGAAAGAAGTTACGTTTCACAATATTAGGCCTACTCTTTTTACTGTAGCTTATGTTTTGATCAAATAGGCGTTTGTAAGTTCAAAAACATAAAAATATGAATTATTCCAAACTTTTGATCGATGTATATTTTACTTAAACAAAAGCTCGCATGACGTCATGATCGAGCAGGTCTCGCGCAGCTGGATCTTATAAAGGATTGTGATTGGTCCGCAGACGCGCGTGGCTCAAACAGGTGCGTGAGTGTGATGGACCTGCGGCACTTAATCTGCTGCGCGGCGGTGTTTGCCTTACTCTCAGGTAATTTTCTTTTATAAACTTTTATTGGAGCTGGCGGACGGTAATATTTATGCTCCTTAAAGATCCGTCCGATTCTTAAAAAAAAAAAAAATAATAATAATAATAATCGAATTATTTGGCTACTAATAAATAAAGGAGAAACCGGGGCTAGTTGTCACAAAGCTACATCTCAGTTTTGAGCGAAAGGTCCAGTTTCACAAATGTGTGTGTTTCTGTTGATTGGTTTCGTATGTTGGTGTGAAACCCTCTTAAACTAGAATACTTTATGAATTCTGCCCTTTAAGCTGAAATTCTAATATCACATTTTCGGTTTGGCATATTAATATCAAGTAAACTTAACATCATAAAACCATGTAGCCTACCGTTCAGAAGTTAGGACGTGATGCTTCAGTAGAAACAGGGACGCTCCAGAGTTTGATTTTCATTTCTGAACATTAGTGTCAATTATAATGAATCATTCAGAAATTTGATCCATTATAGATGCTCCTTTGAACTTTCTATTCAGCAAAGAAAACTGGAAAAAAAAAAATTATCAAGGTTTCCGCAAAAACTGTTGTCAACATTGATAATAATCAGAAATGTTTCTTGAGCAGCAAATCAGCATATTAGAATGATTTCTGAAGATCATGTGACACTGAAGACTGGAGGAATGATGCTGAAAATACAGCTTTGGTCACAGCAATAAATTACATTTTACTATATATTATAATAGAAAACAGTTGATATTTATGCTCCTTAAAGATCCGTCCGATTCTTAAAAAAAAAAAAAATAATAATAATAATAATCGAATTATTTGGCTACTAATAAATAAAGGAGAAACCGGGGCTAGTTGTCACAAAGCTACATCTCAGTTTTGAGCGAAAGGTCCAGTTTCACAAATGTGTGTGTTTCTGTTGATTGGTTTCGTATGTTGGTGTGAAACCCTCTTAAACTAGAATACTTTATGAATTCTGCCCTTTAAGCTGAAATTCTAATATCACATTTTCGGTTTGGCATATTAATATCAAGTAAACTTAACATCATAAAACCATGTAGCCTACCGTTCAGAAGTTAGGACGTGATGCTTCAGTAGAAACAGGGACGCTCCAGAGTTTGATTTTCATTTCTGAACATTAGTGTCAATTATAATGAATCATTCAGAAATTTGATCCATTATAGATGCTCCTTTGAACTTTCTATTCAGAAAAGAAAACTGGAAAAAACAAAAAAAAATTATCAAGGTTTACAAAAATTGTTTTCAACATTGCTAATAATCAGAAATGTTTCTTGAGCAACAAATCAGCATATTAGAGTGATTTCTGAAGGATCATGTGACACTGAAGACTGGAGGAATGATGCTGAAAATACAGCTTTGGTCACAGCAATAAATTACATTTTACTATATATTATAATAGAAAACAGTTGTTTTAAATAGTAGTAATGTTTCAGAATATTACTGTTTTTACTGTATCTTAATTGTTATGTTTAATGTTGTAACTTTTTATTAACTACAATATATATATTTGATAAAGTTTTGTATGTTACATTTTATATTTTTGCTTAATTGTCTCATAATTGTTTACTGCTTAAAACATTGTTGTACGAAGTCAGCATGTGTTCAGATTTTATACGTTCATAGAGACCTTGCCTTTCAATGCCTTGGAAATGGCTCCTCTATCATGAGTTTTCACTCAATTCAGAATTCAGCAATGAATCGTTAAATATCAGAGAGCATGTATGTCTTTCAAAATGGCAGGAAGAAACTATATAATCGGCCACACGTAATTAAAATCTGTGAAACAAAGGTTTTCATATTGTGTTGTTGTGTTTTCATTTGACCTACAAAACGTATCCGAGATTGTATCAAGTTTTGAGTCGTCATATAATCCATATGTGTGAGAAGCCTGTAAAGTGAGTGCCTGCTGTGAATGTTTCAGGTGTTGACGGAGGCTGCAGCAGAAATCAGTGGCAGTGTGATGATGGAGTGTGTGTGTCGCGCAGATGGCGCTGTGACGGTGTCAGTGACTGCCAGGATGGATCTGATGAGATGGACTGCGGTATGTATCAGACACCATCTGCTCCTGAAAAGTTGTCTGTCTTTATGCTCACTTGTTGAATTAATCAGATTGCATCTGGTTGTTTCTATGCAAGTAGAACACAAATAAACAAGCATATTTCATGCCATTAGTATGTCAGCCTGGAGATGTGGAGTGTGCGGATGGCTCCGGGTGTGTGATTGGGTCGGGTGTTTGTGACGGCCGGCCCCAGTGTCCCGACGCTTCAGATGAGTGGGACTGCAGCTGGCGTTTAGGGTGTCTGTCAGGTGACTGGAAGTGCAAGAACAGCATTTGCATCCCACAAGAGCTTCTCTGCAATGACGTCAACGACTGCGGTGACAACTCTGATGAAGAAACCTGTGGTGAGATGCTCTAACCCTCATTAAACAATGTATGACTGTCAGTGCATTAGATCAACCTGTGACTCTTTGTAGGACCAGTTGTTTAAAATAAATGCAAGAAGAGGCACAGCCTCTAATTATCTGGGCCCTACCAAAAGGGAAATGGGGCAACTAGGGCTGTGCAAAAAATCGAATGCGATTTTCATGCGCATCTCGTCAGTGTAGTAACTCTCGTCAGTTTCATGCGCAACTACGGCTCTGTGTAGTAAATGCCGCTCCATCTGAAAGCACGTGCTGGAGATTTACTACTAATCACAAGAGCGGCTTTACTGACGAGATGCGCATGAAAATCGCATTCGATTTTTTGCACAGCCCTAGGGGCAACCTTTTCATAAATGCAAAATAGGAAAGATTCAGATAAATGTATTTAAATGTCACAT